AAAGTTCAGTAACAAAAGGAGTACGAGACATAAAAACAGTTGGGTATTTATTTTAGAAACAACCTTCCTAAAGGACTCCATAATAATGAACCATACACATTAGGCAATTCTAATAAACATATTTTTACATTTGATAGGATTCTAGACCAAGACCTCTGAGGCCCAAGCAGATTAAACAATTAGAATGCATCTAAGTCCCCAGTCTCAAACTGAAATGGGGAAATTTGTTTAATTATTATAAATTCTATTAAACCAATCTTCTTTGTAAAGTGGAAAATGTCTGACCTTGAGGACTATAGAGGGTATAATGAATGCAGAGTTTAATTAGGGCCCACTGCTGGCTCACTATAATCTATTAATTAGTGTTCTCAGTTCTCCATATCTCACTGCAGTGTTTCACTTTACTTTAAAATTGCACCCTTCAATTTTTGGACCAAAGATGTACAATTTTAGGATTGTGTGATAATTATAGTGGGTGCAGGAAGACTATATTCCTGCCAACCTTGGTTTTAATTAGGGCAAGGGGCGGAATCTAAATAAGGCAGTGTTCACCCTCCTTCAGCGCATATGGTTTTTTTGGCACCATAGTCCTATGGGCTGTTTCACTTCACAGGACTGAAGTGCTGAGTCCATATTACAGTCTTTTAAGAAGATTCAAATATTTGCCTTTGTATGTAGCATGAATATTAGGAAAGAAATTGTTGTTGCCTTTTATCCACACAGCTTTTAAAGTGTGGACATAATTAGCTGCCTTAAATTTTTTTAAAATAAAGAAATATGCTAATAATTTTTTCCTCATTCAAGCAGACATTTCCAAGTTGCTTAATAATAAAAACTATCTAGGTGAAAGCTAGCTAATTCAGTGACAGATCCAATAACCTCAATTCAACTTCTACCAAAATCCACTTTTAATTTTATTTATATGTATACACGCACACGCACACACATTTATATACACACATGTGTACACATTATATTTATATTTACACACACACACAATCTATTATTAAAAGGTAAAACTTTTATTTATTTATTTTTTTTTTTTTTAAGATTTTTTTTTTATCCTCACCCGAGGATATTTTTCCATTTTTGTACAGATAGAGTGGGAGGGAGAGAGAGGAAGGGAGAGAGAGAGAGAGAAACATCGACGTGAAGGGACACATCGAGTGGCCGCCACCCGCACGACCAACCAGGGCCGGGGACAAACTGCAACCGAGGTACGTGCCCCTAGCGAGAACCGAACCCGGGTCTCTCCAGACCGCAGGCCGACGCTCTAACCGCTGAGCCAAACCGGCCAGGGCTAAAAGGTAAAACTTTTAAAGGAAAGTGTTTATTCATGTATAACTTTACACAATATTTATAAGTTATAGCTCACTTTTTGAGTCTATGGAAATAAACTGTGATTTTTATATTAACAATACATTTGAGATTGGATAATATTTAAGTATGATGCACTATGATGCTTAACTATCTAAATAAAGTACCTCATATCTGAGCACTGATTTGCCACCAGAACATACTCCAAATTTATCAGTCTCATTTTTACAAAATTAAAAGAACCTAATATCCACCCCAGGAATACAGATCTAGTTTCTAAGACCCATGGTACATTGATACTTTACCACAAGACTAAATTAAGCATGCAGGAGGCAGCCAGTCGATGTTTTCTCTCATTGATGTTTCTCTCTCTCTCTCCCTCTTCCTTCCTACTCTCTCTAAAATCAATAAAGAAAAAATATTTTTAGAAAAAAGTATTCCTCAGGAAATACTTTGAGTTTCAGTCTTCAAGACTTTAATTTTTTTTTTTTTCCTTTACTGACTTTAGAGACAGAGGAAGGGAGAGTGAGAGAGAACATTGATTGGCCACCTCCTGCATGACCCGCACTGGAGATTGGGCCCACAACCTGGGCATGTGCCATGATCAGGAATCGAACCAGCAAGCTCTTGGTGCATGGGTTGATACTCAACCACTGTGTCACACTGGCCAGGCCTGAAGAATACTTTTTTTTTTTTTCTTTACTAATTTTTAGAGGGAGAGGGAGAGAGAGATAGAAACATAGATGAGAGAGAACATCAACTGGCCACCTCCCTCATGCCCCCCACTGGGGATCAGGCCCACAACCTGGGCATGTGCCCTGACCAGGAATCAATCTAGCAATCTCTTGGTGCATGGGTTGATGCTCAACCACTGAGCAACAGGGGCCAGGCTTGAGGAATACTTTTTAAAGGAATACTTTTCCTCTTAGGAGACTTGGAGATTTAAGTACAATAAAACTTTCAGATTCTGTGTAGTAACAAATTAAATTTAGTCACTGGTTAAAAAGTAAAAGCATTTTGTATGTTAATTATACTTAATTTTAAAAAAGTAAAAGCAAAGCGGTTTGAAATTATATCTGAGAAAGAATAAAATTATCATAATTTCTAATTACTTGAACTCTCTTATTCAAATGAATTCAAGGTTTAGTTTTTTTTTCCCTCACCCGAGGACATTTTCCCATTTTTTTGTTCAGGTAGAGTGGGAGGGAGAGAGAGGAACAGAGAGAGAGAGAGAAACATCGATGTGAAAGGAACACATCGAGTGGCTGCCACCCGCACGACCGACCAGGGCCAGGGACAAACTGCAACCGAGGTACGCGCCCTTAGCGGGAACCGAACCCGGGTCTCTCAGGACCGCAGAACCGGCCAGGGCTCAAGGTTTAGTTTTTAAGTCATATTATACCATCAAATAAATATAAGATTTTTAACTCTGTGATGTTAGGTAAATTAACTAGTACAGACACAACAGTATATAGGCATTAAAATAATTATTTAAATATATATCATAAGACTTTAATATACAGTAGAAATGTTGGCTAATAAAAGGTCAAGTCCAGCAGATGTGGCTCAGTGGATTGAGCGTCATCCCATGAACTGAGAGGGTCCAATTCCATTCCAAGTTAGGGCACATGCCCATGTTGCAGGCTCAATCCCAGTAGGGGGTGTTGATCAATGTTTCTCTCTCACATCGATGTTTCTCTCTCCCTCTTTCCCTCTCTCTAAAAAAAAATCAATAAAAAAATTTTTTTAAGTCAAAACGTAACACCTACAATATCCCATTCATGTAAAATTTGTATGTGTGAATGCACAGAGATAGTTCAATAGGGAGAAATAACAAAATGTTAACAGTGGAGTAGCAAAGTTATAGATGGGAAGATCTGGGGTAAAATTTGCTTTCTTATCTATGTTTTTCTGTATTATTTTTATGATTAAAAAAAAGCCATTTGAGCTTGTGTTTGGTGGTGGGTCGGCGGCGGCTGCAGCAAAAGAGTTTGGCGCGATGTCTCACCATTTTACTGGTACAGCCTACCAAGAGGCCAGAAGGCAGAACTTATGCTGACTATGAATCAGTGAATGAATGCATGGAAGACATTTATAAAATGTATGAAGAACATCTGAAGAGAATGAATCCCAACAGTCCCTCTATTACATATGATATCAGCCAATTGTTTGATTTTATTGATGATCTGGCAGACCTCAGCTGTCTTGTTTACCGAGCTGATACCCAGACATACCAGCCTTATAACAAAGATTGGATTAAAGAGAAGATCTACGTGCTCCTTTGTCGGCAGGCCCAACAGGCTGGGAAATAGTTGTGTTGGAAGCACTGGGGGTTGGGGGTGGGCTTGGAACACAGGTGTGTACAGCGATCTGTAGTGGAAGTTTTGTATTATAGTAATCCTGTTTCCATTTTGGTACATTCTAGCCAGGATTGAATGTGTTAGATGAAATGTGAGGATCTTGCTCAATCTGAACTTCCATCACCCCCTTTTTTTTCTTTTTACTTAAACATTATTATGATTTAGAAGGAAGTTTTTCTTTGTCAAGTTAATGTTGGTTCCAATCGTTTAAAAACTGTTCATATCTACTTTATAACATTCACTGTACTAACCCTTCTTCAAGTTTGGGTGGGGGGTGGTAATACAGTTTAATTATGTCCTAAGATAAAGTCATGTAAAACAAATAAATGATCTTTAGTTACAAAAAAAAAAAAAAAGCCATTTTATTACTGAAAAAGTCTGGGGCTTTAACATACAAAACAAACTAACTAGATATCTTCTTCAAGTAACCAAAGCAGTAGATCTGAATGCCTGAGCTGAGTATTATTAATAGAATAGTAAAACAGTCAAAAGAAGTCTTAAATTAGATTTACTTCATCAGAGACATAATTCCTTCTTCACTTCTTAGTATCATTCAAGAGCGCTGCAGAAATCCAAATAAGTTTATTACTTTCTTCATGATTTTTATTAATTTAACCCAAAAATAAAGTCTAATACCAACAATAAGGTAGCTACTAAATTCTCCTTTAAGAGTATAGGAGAATTTGTTTAAGAAGACAAATAATTCAAACTTGCAAGTTTAAGAAAAGTTCTAAAAATGTTTTAAACATAAAGCATAATCAAGATTTTAACTGCTGCAGATTCATTATGATTTGTCTACATCTTTGTAGTCATGTCACTAAATGCAACATGGCTATGGCCAAAATATCAACTATAACCTGGAAGAGGACAGAAAAATAATAAATGAACGTTTCATATATCTAATAAGATAGCATTTAGCTCTTAAACTGCAAAGCCCATAATTACGCCTAATTATCTCATTTATTTTCTAGAAGCAACCAATCATACCAAGTTGCTTTTCTTCCACCTTAAATTTGTTAAAGAGCTAAAAAAAAGAAAGATTTTTAAAAGTTACATAAGCATCCTGAAGTTAGACGATCATGAATGTCCCCAGAAAGAGCTGTTCCTCACTGTTGCTCAGAGGACATGGCAACAACAACAAAAATCAAAGCACAGGACCAAATCTGGAAAAGGCGAAGAAACAGAGGACAGAAAATACTAAATTAAATAGTAATCAGGACGACAAATGAACCAAGAAAGAAAAAACCTAACAAAGAAAAAGGAAATGGCTCATTTCACTTATACAAATGAAGTCAGACTAGTAAAAGTAAACATAAAACTAACCTGGTTTTCCTCCTGCACAACTCTATACTGTTCCTTCCACACAGTAATTTTGGAAGCTTCATCTTTTCTGAGGGCTCGCTCTTTCTTCAGTTCCGGGCTCCAGAAAGTCTTGATGCTATTCATTGAAGAACTTAATTTGCTCTCTTTTACTTCCACATCCTTCCGCAAGAGATCATTTTCCCTTAATACTTCCTTCAGCTGTGTCTGCAGATCCATGATTGTGTTATCTCTTGCCTGACGGAGAGAGTGAGGAACAGTAGATGCCATACTCACAGGAGGGAGGTGATGCTCTCCAAATGCTATGGTGTCACTAGCAACCCCACTGCTAGCTATATTGGGACTACTGCCCATAGCAGTCATCCTAACACCGTAAGGCAGACGTCCCCCAGAACGGCCAAGTGTCATGGTGCTTTTAGGTGTCTCTGAACCTACATTTTCATGGTCACTTAGGTACATAGGGCCAGATGTGGCATAGGCAGCATTTAAGGACTGGATATTCTCCATTGAAAGGGTTTTCCCACTGCCACCTCCAACACTGCTTCCAGAACTCCCTCCTGTGCTATTGGTTCGACGATGACCCAAGCGAGGGGAACGTGGAAGCCTAGGTGAACGCCCAGGGCTCTGGTTGCTTGGTTCCACCTTCCCAACTGAGCGAGCACTTCCATACATGGCTGCAAGATGAATTTAGATACCAGGAAAGGTATAAAGCAGAAAACAAAATATGGAACTCCGTGAGGTTTCTTTATGGCTGTAAGTTTGCTTAAGGCTAATCAGAAATAACAGGTCCTCAGCTGTCCAGTGTTGAAGAAATATCTTACACCATATCTGCAATGAAAAGATCACACAGTAAATCCTCTAATAACCATTTCCCTTCTGAGAAACTTTTCATTACCCTCACTTGAGGAAGAGCTCCCTTCTATCTTCTATTTACTCATGCATTTAAAATTTGTTTACAGGACAACTTATTTCATAGTAAACATTATTCTAAAAATATTTCACGTTTAAAAACTGAATACTGAAACCATACCATGAAAATGGAAAAGAAAAAGTGATTGGCAAGGAAAAGATAAAACTGTTTGAATATATCATTTTCTAATTGGAAAACTCAAGGCTATAAAATGAATAGTTATTAGAACTAATAATAAAACTCAATAAATTTGTTAAATAAAAGATCAATAGCAATACTTTCCTGCACATCAGTAATAACAATTACAAAATGCAATTTTTAAAAGTCCATTCACAAGCCCTGGCCGATTTGGCTCAGCGGTTAGAGTATGGGCCCGCAGACCAATGAGTCACAGGTTCTATTCCAGTCAAGGGCATGTACCTTGGTTGCGATTAGTCCCCGGCCCTGGTTGGGGTCGTGCAGGAGGCAGCCACTCGATGCGTCCCTTTCACATCAATGTTTCACTGTCTCTCTCTTCCTCTCTCTCCCTCCTACTCTATCTGAACAAAAATGGAAAAATGTCTTCAGGTGAGGATAAAAAAATAAAAGTCCATCCACAATAGCAACCATAAAAACAATTTGATATAAATTTATATCATAAAAATATGCATGTATATTTTGAATTACAAAACATTACTGAAAGAACCCCTGAACCAAAGGAAAGATATCCACGTTCATGGATAACATAAAACACTGTAAAGGTAGTCAAAGGTAGTCAGTTCTTCCCCAACTATTTCAAATCCCAATGAAAATCTCTACAGGATTCTTCACATAACAAGTTGACTCTAAAATTCAAATAGAAAATAAAGGTACAAGAATAACCAAAACAACATGAAATAAAAAAACAAAGACGGAATATGGCCCTTAAATAGCAGGATAAATTACAGGTCCACAATCCTTTATTTGCAACCCAAAACTCCAAAAAGATCTGAAAATAGGTTGTTGTTTTTTTTCTTTTTAATTCTCTTAGCAGCAAAACCTAACCTGATCTAAGGTCACTTATTCTTTTTTTTTATCCTCACCCGAGGTCATTTTTCCATTTTTTATTCAGATAAAATGGGAGGAAGGGAGAGGAAGAGAGAGAGAAAGAGAAACATTGACGTGAAAGGGACACATCGAGTGGCTGCCACCCGCACAACCAACCAGGGTTGGGGACAAACTGCAACCCAGGTACGCGCCCTTAGCGGAACCGAACCTGGGTCTCTCTGGACCGCAGGCCAACACTCTAACTGCTGAGCCAAACTGGCCAGGGCTTATTATTTTTATGTATATCACTTATAAAATGTAGGATTATAGGATACTGCCTAATGCCTACTGAGTTCTACTGGGAAAAAAATCTAGACTCCAAAATTACATCTGACCCCCCAGGATTTCCCATAAGCACTTATAGACTTTTAAAGCTATATAAATTTAAAATGTATAGTACTGGCCCAGAAATATGCTAAATTATATGTGAGTTTAGTATACGCTAAACCCAAATCATTCCATAATGGAGTATGAACTAGTACTCTTCGAAAAAAAATAAATCACACTACTTCACACAGTACACAGAAAAAAATTCTATGTACATTAAAAATATAAATTCGAAAACTATTAAAAGTGTCAGAAGAAAACTTAATATCCTGTGAACTAGAGTTATGGTAGGGCTTCTTAAATAAGAAGCCAAAAGCAAAAAGCATTAAAAAAAAGAAGTAATACATTTAATTATGTCAAAATGACAAAATATTATACCAAAAAAAAAATTACAAGCAAAATTCAAAGGCAAACCAAAAACTAGGTGAAAAATATATCTGACATATGTATAAAAAATCTGTATACAAAATATATAAAGAATTCCTACATGAAAAATGCCAAATTTGAAAGAGCAATGATTAGAGGGGAAGGGAACATATTGTAAGAGGAGTTTGGGGGAAGGGAGAATATCTGTGGAGGTTTTAGCTTCACATGTAAATTTTTATACTCATACTACAAAAAAGCTTTAATTTTTAAAAAAGGAAAATATAGGAGGGTATCTAGGGAGAGAAAGGGAGAAACATCTGTAACAAAAAAAAATTAATGAAAATTGCAAAGAAAAGGAAAATACAGCCCTGGTTAGTTTGGCTCAGCGGTTAGAGCATTGGCCTGTGGACCAGAGTCATGGGTTCAATTCCGGTCAAGGGCACATACCTCGGTTGCAGTTCGGTCCCTGGCCCTGGTTGGGGTTGTGCAGGAGGCAACCAACTGATGTGTCCCTCTCACATTGATGTTTTTCTCTCTCCCTTTCCCTCCCTCCCTCCCACTCCACCCAAAGATAAATGGAAAAATATCCTTGGGCAAGGATTTAAAAAAAAAAAAAAGAAAAAGATATTCATATTCTACAAGTATAATTAAAACAAATTTTAGCCCTGGCCAGTTTGGCTCAGTGGTTAGAGCGTCGGCCTGCGGTCCAAGAGACCCGGGTTCGGTTCCCGCTAAGGGCACGTACCTCCATTACAGTTTGTCCCCAGCCCTGGTTGGGTCGTGCGGGAGGCAGCCACTCAGTGTGTCCCTTTCATGTAAATGTTTCTCTCTCTTCCTTCCTCTCTCTCCCTCCCACTCTATCTGAACAAAAAAAATGGAAAAATGTCCTTGGGTGAGGATTAAAAATAATAATAATAATTTAAAAATCCATATCATAGATATCTTACTTTCCACATTTCTGTCTAAGATAAACTAGATTTCTGTAGTTTCCTAATATCATTCTACCAAAGAATAGGCTTAGGTCAAGTAACAGATTTCAACATATTAAATAATACTTCCAAAAATCCATTGTTGTGTAGAATTGATCTTATTGGTATTTCTTGATTGAAAATGCTACCCGATGCTCTAGCTAGTGTGGTTCCACGGTTAGAGCATAGGCCCGCACACAAATGACCTAGGGTTCGATTCCCAGTCAAGGGCACGTACCTGGGTTACAGGTTCAATTGTCAGCCCGTCAGGCTCATGCAGGAGACAACAAATCGATGTTCTCAATCACTGTTTATCTCTCTCTCTCTCAATCTCTCCCTCCCAAATAAATAAACCTATCCTTGGATGAGGATAAAAAATAAATACAATAAATTTAAAAAATAAAACATGGTGTACAAAAGGCCAAAATAAGTAAAACCAACAAAATAAGGAATAGTAATTCAGCCTGAACTACCACGCCATCAGAATTTTAAGCTGCCACACTCAATTTAAAAATTCCCAAGTGTGCTTTGTGAAGAACTGTATTTTCATGTAGTCAAGTAACTAAATCACACTGAATAGGCTAAGATCCAATAACAAAAATTCACAAGTTTTCAACATTAACAGGTGCATTCTGATGTTCAAGTCATTTTCAGACCCAAAATAGCATATGCATGTAGAGTCTTTGTTATTATCAGAACTACATTCATTTATAAAACAAAAGAAGGAAATTCACTAGCTCTGTCTAAAGCCCTCAAACTGGCTTTTATATTTTTAATCCTCACCCAAGGATATGTTTTGATTTTTAGGGAGAGAAAGAGAGAAGGAGAAACATTGATGGGTTGCCTCCTATATGTGCCCCAGCCAGGGATCAAACCCACAACCTGGATATGTGCACTGATTGGGAATCATACCCTCAAGCTTTTGGTGATACAGGTTGATGCTTCAACTGACTGAACAACCCAGCCAGGGCTCAAACTGGCTTTTTAATCTTAAAAGCTTCAGGAAAGACAGTGTTCAAAATAAATGAATTTCTTTTAACAATATGCCAGAAACACAATCACAAAATAATAATTCTTGTACTCTGAAGGGCTGACCAAAAAAAAAAAATTGACCAAAAAAAAAAAAAGTGCCCTGGATGGTTTTGTTCAGTGGTTAGAGCATCAGCCCACAGACCAATAGGTCGTTGGATCAATTCCAGTCAAGGGCACATACCTCAGTTGCAGTTCATGCCCAGCTCTGGTTGGGCATGCGGGAGGCAGTCAATGTGTCCCTCTCACGTTGATGTCTCTCTCTCTCTCTCTCTCTCTCTCTCTCTCTCTCTCTCCTCTCCCTCCCTCCCACTCTATCTGATAAATAGAAAAATATCCTCAGGTGAGAATTAAAAAAAAAAAAGTTATTCAGTATCTTTCCATTGATTTAAAATCTATTATGACAGCCCTGGCCGGTTTTGCTCAGCGGTTAGAGCGTCGGCCTGGGGTCCAGGGAGACCCGGGTTCGGTCCCTGCTAAGGGCACATACCTTGGTTGCAGTTTGTCCCCGGCCCTGGTTGGTCGTGCGGGTGGCAGCCACTCGATGTGTCCCTTTCGCATCAATGTTTCTCTCCCCCTCCCCCCATTCTGTCTGAGCAAAAAAGGGAAAAAATGTCCTCAGGTGAGGATAAAAAAAAAAAATCTATTATGACAGAAAGCAAACCAGTGCAAGCCTGAGGATGGGGATAAGAGGGTAGAGTGGATAATAAAGGAGTAGGAGAGAACTTTTTAGATCATGAAAATGTTCATTATTTTAACTGGGGTAATATTTTTACAGGCATATACATGTCAAAATTCATCAAACTATATACTTTAAATATGTTCAGTTTATTGTATATAAATTATACCATAAAAGTTTAATTTAAAAATAATTTCACATTCCAAACTCCCTAACCCATGATTAATCCAAAAGAAACACTTTCACTGACTACACACCTGTAATCCTGGTTGGAGAAAATCATGCAGCTTTTCAGTTTGAGCCCAACAATTTGCCCCGAGTCCGACAAGTCCCTCAGTTAGCTTTCTATCCAGTATTTTGTTAACTCTCTATCTAGTATCTGTTGTGATTATTTTAAACCTTCTCCCTCTGCCTATGAAACAGAACACAAGTCCTGACTCAGAGACAAAGAACTTTTTACTCACAGAACAGCAAGCAGTACAAA